ACTCAAACGTTCTAAACACAGATTGGTCAAAGATGTGATGTAATTAACTCGGACTTCAAATGCAATCAGACTAGGAGCGAGAGAGAGATTTGCCGCTCATATTCCAAATATTGTCAAACGGGCAAATTTCAAGATTTCAAATTTGATGCTCTGCGATGTGATCCTTCAAATTCTACAGGTAGTGATTTCAAAGTTGGTGATATATTCATAAAAAATAAAATTGAATGAAAATATAGTCGAATGAACATTGTAAAGAGGGAGAGAATTAACAAGGAAAAAAATTAGCATTCATCCTCTCTAAGATGAGCAGAGGAACTGGGTAAAACCGGATAAGCCACGTGATCAAGAAGGAAGAAAAAAAAGCTACTATAATCACAAGTTTCCCCGTTGAATACTAATTTAAATGAAAAACGCCTACAAAATCCAAACGGTATCACGTTTCTCCATTGAATTCTTATCTTAGAGACGTGCAAAACAAAGACGGTGATAAGAAAATTCCAGAAACTCATACATTGAATAGAAATTCGCTCAATTTCCTGAAGCAATTCTCCTCTCCCGGGTAAGAGTATCCTTCCACGGCTTCCGGCGTGATCGAGAACGAATCAGGGGAGGAAATTTCCAGCCTTACTCGAAACCTTTCAGGCAAGTGGGTATTGTTACAGGATAATCTTTTCGAACATTGGACTGCACTGGCAGCACTTGGCTCAGTGGAAAGCTTGCGACATTTGAAAAGCTTCCATGGGTCCTGGCGTTGTAGTTGGCCATTAGAAGATTCAACCAGTGCTTTGCGTTTGGCTATGGCAGCTAAACGGTTTGCTTCGGCTCGCTTTCGTTGCTCTTCAGTGATATCCATGCAGCAACACTGAGAGTGAATTGATTTAGGGTTCGAACGAAGACGAAGGTGAAGAATGGAGGAAATGCAATTTGAGTGACAAAAGCGCGGGCAGATACGGAAGGACGAACGAAGGAGAAAAATGCGCACGCGTGTCGTTCGGCGCCTGTTGATACGCGCCTTAATTTTCCTATATTATTTCTTTTTTAAAAACGATTAGAGATGCTGACGGGGCTGGGACAGGTAAGCTTTCCGTTTCCATCCCATCAATTATTTCCTTTCCAATTAAATTCTCTATTTATTGGTTCGTATAATTTTTACGTTATTATTCTTTAAAATAGTTATTTTAAAATTCTAATTTAAAATATAATATTTATAAGAAAAAAACGTAGTAAATTAATATTTTCATGAGTATTATTTAAATTTACGGTCTTTATAAAATTATTTTTATATTAATCAGAGCCGAGACGAAGACAGAAACAAATAATATAATCTCGTCGTGTCACCTCATTTATTAAATAGGAGAAAATGTTTCCATTTCCTGTTTACATGGGAATCCTCCTCTCGTTCGGGTGGGTTTCCGGCTTCTTGCGGGACTTGACATCTCTAGGAACGATTTTGATATTCATTATTTTTTACCTGTGTCTATTTGTAATACTTTTTGCTTGAATATCATAGTATAAGTAGCTCGGTGCTCTTTGGGAGATAGATGAAACCAAATGGATAAAAAGACCTTACGTACATTCTCACAAACGATCAATAGATATGAATGCTATAAAATTAAATAGGTTTTTTTTATAATATATGGGATTTGTTGCATGAATTTCATAGGATACGTTCGGTTTCCCTTTTTAAGGTTGCTCTCTTTTAAAATTCTAATCTCGAGAGAATGTCGTTACAACGACACATTGGTCCTAAAGAGATAAGGATGACTAAGAAAAAAAACAAAATGGAGTTGGAGACAAGAAAATGATGGCTCTAAAAAATGTTGGAAACTAGAACTCGAGGCAATTCTCAGCCACCAAAGAATGGAACAGTCTATTCCCAACATTATTTCAGTGCCTCCTTTTGCTCCGACGGGGAAAACTACTCCTTCAAATGGAACAAATGATGGGCCACATGCTCACACGTGCTATTGTGTTCACTGCAATAATGCTGTTCATTGAGGTAAACAACAAATTCAGAAGAAAAAAAACCAGTTTTTACCTTCAAAATTCGACAAGCTGTAATTTTTTTATCGAGTATTATTCATTCAAACGGACCTTTTAGTCGTTTTATGTGAGATCCCACATCGGTTAGAGAGGAGAATGAAGCTTGTCTTACAAGGATGTGAAAACTTCTACCTAGTAAACGCGTTTTAAAACCTTGAGGAAGAAGCCCGGAAGAGAAAGCCTAAAGAGAACATAAATGCTAACGGTGGATTCGAGCTGCTATAAATGGTATCAGGTGTGGAGGTATGAAAATCTCTCCCTATTAGACACGTGAAGAAAGCGGAACCCTTTATTTACCAACCATGAACAGCATTTGGTAAGCTGTTTATGTTGTGTGTTTCATGGGTTACAACGAGCGAGCACGGATTCGTGGCCACAGAAGTGTGTGTTCCCTGTGACGAATGTTTCTGTCTCCATCGCAATCCTGCAATCGGTTGAGTATCAATTTGTCGGCAGAAGAAAATGGAAGAGGCCCAACATCATTCTTTCACAACAGCTTGCATTTGATTTGCTCAATTTCCACTCTCATCAACCAAACATTTATTGCCAGTTCTGCACCAACGTGCAGTTTTGATGGGGCTCCATGGTTAGCGTCTATCCACCAGTCATTCAAAAACGACCCTTGATGATAATGGATAAGTGCTTACAAAAGAAGCATTTCACTTCAAAATACTTTTTTCTTACAAAGACATCGGAACTAGCAGCCTAACTAGATCCCATATCGATTAAAGAGGAGAACGAAACATTCTTTATAAGAGTATAAAACATTTTCCTAGCAGACACGTCAGCCTATAAGAAAAAGTTTAAAGAGAACAATATTCGTTAGTGGTGGACTTAGGCGGTTACTAATTGTATAAGAGCCACGCCTGGTGTGCCAGCGAGGAGGCTTGAAGGGGTGGACACCAGGCGGTGTGCCAACGAGGATGTTGTGTCCCAAAGAGAGGTGGATTGGGGGGTTTTACATCAATTGGAGAGGGAAACGAGTGCCTCGGAAGATAAGGAGGTGGAAACCTCTCCATAACAAACGCGTTTTAGAACGTTGAGGGAAAACCCAAAAAGAAAAATCCAAAGAGAACAAGAGAAGTGTCGAGGACAATATCGATTAGCACGTGCTGGCACCCACCTGTTACATATTTTTCCTTGCATAAACACCCCCTCGTGGGAAAGAAGGGTTGAGAAGAAGTTGAGAGTGGTCCATTGATTGGAACCCAAAGCTGAGAGAGACTTAAATTCCCTTACAATATTCTTTCTGCTATCTTGGTTTCATACTGTGACATCTCTCTATCATGTAACCATTATAAACATAGCTCACGACACACAGAACAGCAAGAGAAAGAGAAGAGAGCCTCAGAGTGGCTTCACCCTCAACCTCCTGATAGCCTAGCTTCTTCTGTCAATAGCAAAACAGTACATATTATTTAGCATGAACCAGTGGATAGTCCCAAAATGGAACCAATCACAACAACATGAAGATGCTAGCAGATCTTCCCATGTCCATTTCCCCCACAAAAACACTACTTTCAGCCACAATCTTGTCCCCATGTAAGCACTAATTGAATTAGCGAAGCTCATTTCTCTCTTTGTTTTTGTGTGTTTTTGGTCGTCATTTGCGAGAAACAAACTCATTTCTTGAGTTCTAGTACTCGTGCTAAAACTACTCATTTAAAAAGTGCTTTCATACCCTCCATTGATGTCTTTTTGGGGTGAATTGGTGCAATATTTCAGGGCAAAGTATGAAGCAATTGAGAGGACATGGGAGAGTGGAGATCAAGAAGCAGCAGTGGACGGCCATGGGGAGGTGGTTCTTCAAATGGCTTCAACAAAGCACTCATGGGGCCAATCCGAAGACACCCTCGAGTCCATAGTCCATAGTTCACTGTTGAGGAAACGGACACGATCCAACCCAGAAGGCAAAGATGAAACTTTTATGAGTGGGGCTTTTTTAGAATCTCATAGGAGCTTCAAAGCCAAAAATTCCATTGAAGACTTAGCTCCAGATGATGGCTCGGTGATTCACAAGCTCCTTTGTTTAATAAACTTGTTTTGTTGTGCTTTTTTGGTGCACTTTTAGTGGACATCACTGGCAGTTTATTTAGTTGTTTGTGGCGTTGAAATCAGGAGGACGAACATAACACGAAGAGGAAAACAAGTGGGAGCTGTTCAATTAGACGAACTCAGTCTGAGAGAGTAAATGACTATGAAATGACTTTTTACTTCTGTAAATACTTAAAAAATTAACATAACAAGAAGATTTTAATCAATTTGAATACTCGGGAGTTGAAATCTTTTTTTACCTTTTTTGTAGAGACGAAGAGATCGGATAAACCAGAAGTTAAAAGATCTTCAAAAGTTGGTGCCAAATAGGAGTAAGGTACGAAAATTCATATATTTGAAAAACTCGTATATAACTATGACCTAAACTCAAATTCAATCGGTTGAGGAGGAGAACGAAACACCTTTTACAAGGGTATGGAAACCTCTCCCTAACAGACGCGTTTTAAAGCCTTGAGGGGAAGCCCGAAAGAGAGCCCGAAAAGGACAATATCTGCTAGCGGTGGATATGGGCTGTTACAGCCTCAGAGACTATAAAACATGTATTCCGTGATTGTTTATAACAAGTTTTAAGAACGATAAACTTATCATGTTAGCATATCCTATACTCCAAGAGCTTCACTTGTACAGACTGATAAAAAGGGCTAAAAACTCTCCTTTTACAGACTGATAGAGCTTCACTTTTGGACGACACGATTCAATATTTGAAGCAACTTAAAGCACAAGTTCAGTTCATGTGCAGCATTAGATCAGATGTGCCACAGATGATCGTACCTCTAGGAATGCAGCAGCAGCAGCAGCAGCTTCAAGTGTCACTGCTCGCAGCTCGTATGGGACTGCTTGACACTGCTTCAATGGCTTCCAGTTCCAGTTCCTTCCCTTGTGCTGCTGCATGTTCTCCGACTCTACTGCCTTCCATCATCTCATCAACAAAGCCAAAATATAAACTTTCCACCTCTGCTTTCGTCCCTCCAACCGATCCTTTCTGCACTCTTCTGGCACAAGTAAGTCCAACACAAACTATATCTACATGAGCAACAAAACCCTAAAAAAGCAACCAAACAGATCAAACTACCAGTTTAGTTGGTTTTAGTAACACATCGATCAGAGTTCAAATTGTTGGGATAGTTGGTTATTGTAATACTACTGGCGGACATTGCCCTACTTGTGTTTTCCCTTTCAGGCTTTCCCTCAAGGTTTTTAAAACACGTATGTTAAGGAGAAGTTTCCACACCCTTATAAAGGATGCTTAGTTCTCCTTTCCAACTGACGTGGGATCTCACAATCCACCACCTTGTTTGAGCCTCAGCGACCTCGATGACACAAAGCCCGGTAACTGGCTTTGATACCCTTTGTAATGGTCTAAGCCCAACGCTAGAAGATATTGACTTGTTTGGGTTTTTCTTTTCGAACTTTCCCTCAAAATTTTTAAAACATGTCGACAAGAGAGAGGTATCAACACCCTGATAAAGAATGCTTAGTTCCAATCGACGTGGGATCTCACAGTTATAGGCACCGGTCGGGACCTGATTCAATTTTCAACATAAGAGTCAAGAGGGTTAAGAGTAAAATTGGATGTTGAGCATCCTACATAAACTCCTAACATGAAAAGAATGAATGTGCAGCCAACTATACCAGTTTAGTTTAGTTTCTTTCTTTTTTTTTTTTTTGGTATCGAAATGCTGATTTTTTGTTGCTGCAGTCAATGGATATGGATTTGTACAGTAAAATGGTGACATTATATTGCCAAGAAGTGAACAGGACACCTCGGCAGGCAAGCAAATTAATGGAATCACAATGTGTAGAAGGGATCGAGGAGGATATGCATCAGAGCTAGCCAGAATAAGCTCCACCATTTGGTTGACTCCAACAAAAACTAGTTTAGTTGAATACTTAGATATGCCTCAGTTCAACCAAATGTTCAAGGCTTTCTCTAGTAATTTTGGTCGATGGAAATGACACATTCTATTGTTCTTGTATTTTCCCCTTTGGAATTCCGAGGACAGTGTGGGCAAGTTTAAAGTAAGTAAAAGCAGATGTAGAAAGCTAAAATTAAATCAACTCATGAGGAACGTCTCACGTTGGCTAATGAAGGAGAAGGTTGTCGCTATGAGATATTTTAAGAAAATTAAAGATAAAATAATGAGAATTTAAATTTAAAGTGAACAATATCATACCAATGTAGACTCGGTTCCATGCTCGTAGATTGGATCAACTCTAGAGCTTCCTCCAACAATCCCGCTCGATCTGTGACCAGACCTTGGTGACAACATGCACAAAAAACACCTAGAAAGGTAACCTCATCTGGCTTGAAAATTTCCATCAACATCATAGAAAAAGCCTGCAAAGCTGCACCGCCTTGCCCATTCATGACGTATCCAGAAATCAAGACATTCCATGTACAGATGTTCTTCTCTCCAATTTCTTCAAAGACCTTCTTTGCCTCATCACAGCCCCACATTTAGCATACATATCAGTGAGTGCTGTGCCCACAAACACGTTCAGTCTCAAATTATTCTGATATATAAATCCATAGTTCCACTTTCCCTGATTTAAAGCTCCCAAATGAGAACAAGCCAATAGAACTACCACCGCGGTTCTTTCACTCGGTTCAGTCCCAGCTGCCAGCTTTAACAAGCCAATAGAACTACCACCGCGGTTCTTTCACTCGGTTCAGTCCCAGCTGCCAGCATTCCTCTGAAAGCATTGATAGCTTCCATAAACTTTCTATTATGAGTATAACCAATAATCAGAGCATTCCAAGTAACCGAATTTCTCTTGGGCATTTCGTCGAACAGCTGAAAAGCATCCGAACATTTCAAATCGATTCATCAGCATTTAAGATGATAATTGATGTCTTCGAGAACGATTTGAGACGCTAGTTTAATTGCTTATAAGATTTGATTTCATAGAAAAAATGAAATATAATATATAAAAATGTATGAGTCACTTGGCACTAAGAAGTGTCGTAAAGCAACTCTATTGGGGTGTGGATATTCGGGTAACGACTACAAGTAAAAAAGAGAAAGGAAAATTGTACCCGATCAAGAATGAACGTAAACTCACAAGCTATGGAAGGTTATGGAAAGTGTGGATAGTTATTTTGAACAGTGAAACAAAAAAGTTGTCCCACCACGATAGGTGGGTTGATTCCTCTCCATCTTTTATCTTTTACCCCACAATAAAAAGCATATTTAACTCTGGATGAATTCTTCACATTATAATATAGTATTTTTTTACCGGTAAATATCAAATTCCTTAGCTTAAATATAAATACTTTTGGATAAGTAGTTAAAGCAATTTAACATGGACGTCAATTTTTAGAATATTAATTAATATTTTTATTAGTTGAACTAGGTTTAAATTGATAGGTATATATATTTTTTTAATAATAGATATATATTTTTTTAATAATAGATATATATTTTTTTAAAAGTCCATTTCTATTATTGTTATTATTGACGTATATACATTAAAAATATATATATATATATATATATATATTAAAATATAATTTTTAATTCACCAACAATGGTCCCATTTTATTTTAGAACTATAAATTTAATAGCTCTATTTTCATTATATATTAAATTTAATCCTCAATTTAAATTTTATAAAAAAAACTAGTTTAATACTAATTATAATTTTAATGTTAAAACACAATTAGGTGAACCTGTATCCATATTTTTTTTTAGAGGGAAAACTAATAATAATTTTAAATTTATTTTTGCGTGGAAAATTGAAAAGGAGAATATTTAAAGAATAAGAGCGGTGTGAGTATGAGTAAACTGAGACAGATCTCCGTGCATATCAATACGAAGCAGAAACGAGTACAGAAACAGAAAAGCAGCGAAGGGAGGAAAGAGAAGGGGGCGCGAAGTTCATGGAAGCGCGCGCGCGAAAGCGGCGACAGGGTACTTGTTGGCATTTTTGACGAGCTTTGAGAGAGCGGCATGGCCCAAATCAAGGCCACACACATCGGCGAGACGCACCAAATAGAGTAACACATCAGACACCTCTTCTTCCAAATGCTCTCTCTCCGCCGCGCTCCAGTTTGGCAGCCCCCTCTCCACCTCCCCCTTCCACTGGAATATCTCCGATAGCTCTCCGACCTCACCAACCTGCAAGCAATTGCAATTCCATCATCATCAACAACAACAACAATAGCAACATGTAAGATTTTTCATATTCTATACTGATTGTGTTTGTTTTTAGGTCGAAATTGGTGATCGAGTTGTTAATTTCAATGTGTTTTTTTTTGTTTGATTGATTACAAGTGCTAGGAGAAGGTTTCTTGGGCTGTGGTATTGTTCCCATCCTCGTACTCGAGCGAACTCTGCGAGCATGTCTCTGAGTTCCTGCAGTGAGACGTCTTTGGCGGTTTTCTCAGGTTCGTAAGAACGATTCTCCATTTCTCTCTCTCTTTGATCTGTTTTTATCTGCGTGTGGTTATGAATGTGATCTCTGAGTTCGGTTGGGCCATTAATTTATAGAAGTCAGTTTAGGGAGAGAGAGAGAGAGACAGAGAGACAGAGGGAATTTGAGATGATAGTGGGAGGTGCACTTGAGGTGTTTGATAAAAAGATAAAACAGTAATTAAGGCATGTGAAGTGTGGGAAAGCATGTCTCCACCTTTCCATTCATCACTTCAAAGTTCAAATCACCCATCTGCTGCTGCAGCACCTCATGCCATGCCATGTCTCTCCACTTCTCTACACCACAAAATACTTACCCACTTCATTCAAGCTTTAGAATTTGAATCTTCTTTGGACTTGTTTTTTTGAATTCAACAATTGAGAGGGAAGCTTCAAATCTTTGCCACCTTGGTCGAAGACACGTCTTAACTAATTACTAGGCTTATTTAGCAAGCTTGTGTGACGACTTTGGATCCTAGTTCCTAGTTCATTTATTAATATGCAGTGGATTACTTTCAGTTAACTTTAGGTTATACGTCTTTTTGTTGGGCGAAAAATATTTTTTACTAAAAATGAAGAAGGCAAAAGATACCTTCAATTAGGGTAAAAAAAACACTTGTGGGGCAATGTTTTCCTCTTGATTGATAGCATTTCATAGTGTTTCTAAACCCTCAAAGCCTCTTTGGTGATGTTCTGAAGAACGAAAAATGAAAAAGGAGAAATAAGGAATGTTACCAAACAATTGCTGAACTTATATAATGCTCTACAAGTTATTTAATGTTTAATCATGAGCATCTTTGTAGTTAAACGATGGTGTGTGAAGGTACAACTCGTTGAAAATATTTAATTACGGAGTTTGGAGAATTGGATTTTATGACTTCTGTGCAATTCAAGATCATTGGGGGCATTTGGATCTCTGTTTCGAAATTGGAAGTGTTTCATTTTCATTCCCTTCTCCCATCTATTTAAGAAATCTCTGTTTCGAAATTTGGGAAAGATGGGGAGAAAGGAGGAGGAAGGAAGAGGAGTGAGGAGAAAGACATGTTCAGTAGACGGCGGTGGCACTGTTGTAACTAAACTGGAGGATATTGGTTTTTCGCAACTGTTATAATTTTAGGGATTTTCTTTTAATTTTAATCTCAACTTCATAGATTATAGAGAAAGAGAAAGGAGTTGATGTGGAGAGTGAAGTGAGTGAAGTTGGAGGCGGAGGCACGTAATACAAATCCCGGAAATTGCGATTGAAGTCTAGAGAATTTATGAAAATCTTGAAGTTTGCAAGGGAAAGCAGACAAATTCTGTTTAAACACCCATTCTTTTCTTTCATTTCATCATCTTCTATCTCCCCAACCATGGCCTCTAGTTCTTCTCGTTTCCTTTTCTTTTATTCTTCTTTTCCACTTACTTTTCTGGGCCAATAATAACTAGTTGGAGTTTCAAAAAGGAGATTAATTCACGAAGTACTATTAACTATTAGGATATTTATAAGTTTAAGTCTAACCTAACATCACCTCTATACAGCATTATAGCATTAAATATGCTTTGGTAAAAGTTAAATCAGTCTCATTAATATATATATTTCTTTTAACTTAGGATCAGTTTGTGAGTTTGTGACACCGATTAATGGTAGATAATCATATTTCTTAGAGGTACTAAATACAACTCCCCCTTGACCTGATCATCCTATTCTCTCTAAGAGCAGGTCGGGATCGTGGAACACTTGCTCGAGGAGTAAGTAAGCACACAGTGAAGTATCATCAAAATGCACACTCCATCTCTATCTATAGTCTCGTTCATTTCCCTATCCTTTGAGTTGTTTTGTCCCCTAATCAAGTATAGTTTGCTATTGTTCGAGTTTGAAAATTTTGAATTTTTAACTTCTGATTTTTTTTCCTTTCTTAAAAGGCATCATAGCATTGCCAATTGTTGTTGATACAATAGTTTCACGAGTCATAATGATAGTTCTATAAAAAGGATTAGGAAATTCTGGAAAAGAAGATGGTGGGGGGCTTTATGCTCACTGTATGAAGTGCAACCAAAGCAGCTTACTAGCTGAGGGTTGCCTCAGGCCATGAAAGCTATTCAAATAGCTTGCTTTAAAGCATCTGATTTTTTTGATTTCCCAGCTTCAAAGTTTGCTTAAATAGAAGAAAAGAAAAATGAAAAGGAAAAGGGGGGAAAAAAAAATTGTCGTAGAGAACAGAGTTAGATGTTAATGATTGCAATGCAGAAAAGGAAAGGGGAGATGAAAATGGACAACCAATTATTGCTTCTAGACTCATTAAACATTTTTTATTTGTTATATAACCTATCCATTAGAAATTCTACTCATAACTTCGAATTGTGGGTTGTGTGTCTTCTTTATTTTAAATAATATTTACTACATAATGTATATAATTATTAATTTTTTAAATTAAGGAAGAAAAAAACTCTAATTATTAAACGTGTTGGTGTTCGAGGGGAGGATGGTTGGGAGTGAGTTACACATTGGCTAATTTAGAGAATGATCATGTATTTATAAGTAAAAGAATAGATGAGGCATTTTGGAGAAGCCCAAAGTAAAGTCATGAGAACTTATGCTCAAAGTGGACAATATCATATAATTGTGAAGAGTCGTGATTCTTAATATGGTATCAGAGCCATGCTCTAAACTTAGCTATGACAATAGAATTCTCAAATATCGAACAAAGATTGTGAGCCTCTAAAGTGTCGAACAAAGGGTGTACTTTGTTCAAGGGGAGGATGGTTGGTGTTCGAGGGGAGGATTGTTAGGAGTGAGTCACACATTGGCTAATTTAGAGAATGATCATGTGTTTATAAGCAAAGGAATACATCTTCATTGATATGAGGCATTTTGGGGAAGCCCAAAGTAAAACCATGAGAGCTTATGCTCAAAGTGGACAATATTATATCATTGTGTAGGGTGGTAATTTCTAACGGGTGATTTCTAACAAAACGAACCAATGAAGAGAGAAGAAAAACAAAAAAGAAAACTGTCCTTGTTGCACTATGCCATTCCATAATTAGTAATCTTACCGAATTTTTAATTTCTTTTTCCCAACTTTAGGATTATTTTTTTCTTTTTCCTCACATCACAACTACGATTCAACACGGCAATGATTTACATATTTGATCTATATATTTCCCACTAGGTCTTAATGTATAAATAAAATAAAATAAATTCTCTTTAAGAATAATTAATCTACTAAAGAATGCTACGGTAGAAATTAAAAAAACTTTTGAAACACTCTCGATATTGATATGCTCCACTATCAGTAGGACTGATAGTATTTGTAACATATATTTAAGTTTATAAACTTTTTTAATACTCTGAAATGGAATAAATGATGAAGATGTTGAAGTTGTATATGCCCTTAATAATTTTTATCTATTACCTATTTTATTTAATATAATGATTAGTGGATAGGGCGTGTACTAGAAATTCTCCCAAAGAAAATTAAGTTTCCTAAGAAATTTGGACCAAAAATTCAATTTTAACAATAGTTTATTAATAAATTAGTTATTTTCCTTTTATGAAATCTTTAAAAAAAAGAGAAAGTTTAATAATCAGAATTAATTGGACGATTGTATGAGCCATTGTGAGTTAGAAACGTGGAAGCTGAGAGTTTACATCACTCAGCTCGAAGTTTGTTTACTAGAGGTACGAGAGGAGGGAGATCTACTGATAAGGCGGCCCCTTGGTTGATCCTTTGTTTCCGGCGACCGCGATTGGAAGATCCTTTCCTGCTTTTGGCCTTTTACTAGTTAGTCCCGGTAAAAAGTGGTTAGCCCCAGTCGTAAAGGGAATTAGGTCCCACTGAGTGCCAATGCCGAAGGCGTAGTGGCAGGAAATGGAATTGGGAAACCTAGTTGGAGAGGTTCATGAAATGGAATTGTGAAACCGAGTTCAAGAGTCATCTTCGCTCCTGACCCGGAACCTGAGCTACTGAACCTCATGCGCCAAGTTGGGGCCACAAAATGAAGGCATTAAAGTTCTGGGGGGGAAATGGCGTTCAATATTCTTGTGCAAATCAAGAATTGACACCAAAATCTATCTAAGATTTGGGATTTTTTATTTTATTTATTTCTTCCATTACAAGACTTGTAGTTTTGTCCTGTCTGATTTAAGTGCAACATGATCTCCAACTTCCTGCAAAAATAATCCATTCTCCATCATTTCTATCCAATTACCACAATTTAACTATATACACACAAATCTACTCCTACTCCGAACATTAATCTAATCAATTATGGGTTTCATGATCCAACCATAGAAAACATAAGGCTATTGTATAATAGTTATCTACGCTATAAGACTTATTTTTTTTTAATACAGGGAGCGAGAGAGTATGAAGAGCTAAAATATGCTCTCTTGAGGATTGTTGGGAGAGGAGTCCCCCATCCACGAATCAAAAAGTTGATCATGAGTTTATACGTAAGGAATATATCTCTGTTAGTATGAGACTTTTTTATTAGTATGAGACTTTTTTAGAGACTTTTTCAGAGAAAAGAAAAAAAAATAAAGTCATATGAGCTTTTAGATAAATTTCTAGGCTTTTTACATTCTATTAGCCAAATACAAGGATTTGTTGCATTTTGTTGATGGATCTCTACTTGAATGTTTGTAAAGCCCACCACCAAGCAATCAAGCTTTAAATAATTGAACCAACAAAAGCAGGAACTGAGCTCATTTTCAGCCATCTTTTTCCCAACAAACCTGCTCTCTGCCCTGTTGTTCAAATGGCAGCCTCATCAACCAATTCTTTGTGAAAGACAGAGACTATTAAGAAACAAGCATTTTGGTTCCAGTCCAGATGTAATAAAAGCTCTTTTATTCAATCAACTTGGGCCATAGGAGATGTGTTCATTATTCTTGCAAGGAAACCAAAAAGCAAAACAGAGGAATTCTTTCTTCATTCTTTTTTTTTTCTTCTTTTTTCTTTCAACATTTTGTGAATGATGAATGTTTTTGTTTACAAGATGAATGGTAATAAATTGAAGTGTGTAGGTATCAGTATTATCTTATGTCTATCAAACACTATGTAACAACCTAAGGTTATGCACATTTCTTCAATCAAAATCTTGATCAATGCATGGAGTAGTGGAGAACATTTGGCTGAATTCATCTCCCCCTCTTAACCCTATGATATTGATCAACATAGCTAGCACTTCCTTCATGTTCGGTCTCGCCCCTGGTGCTTCGTTCGTGCACCTCACCCCAATCTTCAGTAGCTCACACATCTCGTCCGCCCCGTCGACGAGCCCCGACCCCAAAACTGCCACTGGTATCACTGCTCTACTCAACCCATGTCTCCCATTTCCCATCACCCTTTTAGCCCATTCAACTAGACACTCTTCCCCTCCATCCAGTGCTCGTCTTGCAGTTGCAAGTTCCATTGCCAAAACTCCAAAACTATACACATCGCCCTTTGTCGTAGCTTTCCATGTCTGTCCATACTCGGGTGCTACGTAACCAATGGTTCCAGCCACCATGGTACTCACATGGCTGTCTCCTACATCCAT